GGTAAAATCAGGATGACCATTCTACAGCTTTAACTTTTAAATATCAAGTCAGCAATGGCTATTTTCGCAGGTTTTCAAAAAAATTTCTCCCCAAATAATATAGGTAGGAGTCCTGCGTTACCCACTGGTATTTCAACACCTGCTATATTCTCCATAATACACAGAGAGACAAAACCTCCAACAGGTAGAGTGAACCTTGTCATGATGCCAGTCACTGTCACTTTTGCTGGTCAGCTTGTTCTGCAACACATAGACATGCCAGCTACATTTGACCATTCATGTTACACAGGATACAGCAGGAAGTGCTGGGACAAACAGAGGTATGGAAACAACTCTCAAAACAGTAACATAGTCAGGAATTCTCTCCAGGGGATCTTGCTGTTGGAATTCCCAAAAACCTACAAGAACCCTGGGGATGAAGTAGCCGCCGTAGCTGCACTGTAACTGGAATATCAGTCTGGATGTACTGATCCTTTAAACTTTGTTTCTACTTATGCCATCTTCTTATATAAATTTATTTTCATATTTCCTGTTGCACAGTTGGTTTATTTACAAAACCTTAAAAGAGAAGTGTGGGATTGCTTACCTAGGTGGATGCAGCATCGGTCCCCCCCGCCGGCTCTAAGGTTAAGCAAGAGAGCTTTGTCTGTACTTCTCCTTTAAGCAATTAAATAGTAAAAGTAGGTCACAGAAACTGATCAGATTTCTGCTTTCTGATTCTTTCTATCTACAGAAAAATATGAGCTGGTGCCCGATTTGTTGCATTTTAAATAATCTACTGGCAAGGCTTTCTGCATTGTGGCAATAAAAGAGACTCATTTACTGAGTAATAGACAAAGGTATTGATAGCTTTTTAAAATATTGCATTTAACAATGCTTGAGGGTAATCTTTTCCTGCTAATTACCTCCCATACACTAAAGAGGCGTCACCTAAGCTATTATTATAAGGTGCTATGTCAGGGTACCTCCTCTGGGATAGTAATAGTCTAATCCACAGAGCGCTCAATACTAAGGCAACTTGCTTAGCAAAAACATGACTCTATAGGAGAAAATCATTTACTTTCAAATAATTTTATGCTAGCAAAAATGTGCCCATTGGTGCACGCGACAAATCGGGAATCTCAAAAAAAAAAGAGACAGGCAGAAAAAGGATACTCCTCTCTCTGTAGAAGAGGTAAAATATATATATATATATATATATATATATATATATATATATATATATATATATACATACACATATATAATATATATATATATATATATATATATATATAATATATATATATATATATATATATATACACACACACACACACATACATACATATAAAACACACACTGATCAGTCATAACATTAAAACTGAAAAGATTTATATTTAACCATGCTGGGCAGTTTTGTCCTTTTGTGCTATTCTCAATAAAAAAAAAATATAGTACAAAATGCATTATGACTGACAGGCAAAGTTAATAGGGGTGGGATATATTAGGCAATGAGTGAACATATTGTCCCTGAAGCTGATGTCTTGAAAGCAAAAAAAAAACAGACAAGTATAAGGATTTGAGTGACTTTGACAAGGACCAAACTGTAGAAGAATGGTATGGGCAGGTGTGGACGAGCGGCGAAGGGCAGGGGTGGACCAGCGGCGAAGGGCAGGGGTGGACCAGCGGCGAAGGGCAGGGGTGGACCAGCGGCGAAGGGCAGGGGTGGATGATGGGACAAGCGTGGGCGAGGGGACAACCGCTGTTGGAAGGGGTGGGCGAGGGGATGAGCGGTGGGGGCAGGGGTGGGAGAGGGGAAGAGCGGTGAGGGCAGGGTTGGGAGAAGGGAAGAGCGGTGAGGGCAGGGGTGGGAGATGGGAAGAGCGGTGAGGGCAGGGTTGGGAGAGGGGAAGAGCGGTGAGGGCAGGGTTGGGAGAGGGGAAGAGCGGTGAGGGCAGGGTTGGGAGAGGGGAAGAGCGGTGAGGGCAGGGTTGGGAGAGGGGAAGAGCGGTGAGGGCAGGGTGGGAGAGGGGAGCGGTGAGGGCAGGGTGGGAGAGGGGAAGAGCGGTGAGGGCAGGGGTGGGAGAGGGGAAGAGCGGTGAGGGCAGGGGTGGGAGAGGGGAAGAGCGGTGAGGGCAGGGGTGGGAGAGGGGAAGAGCGGTGAGGGCAGGGGTGGGAGAGGGGAAGAGCGGTGAGGGCAGGGGTGGGAGAGGGGAAGAGCGGTGAGGGCAGGGGTGAGTTACTATAAGTAGAGAGTCACTATCTCTCCTTATTGACTGCTGAGCAAAGGTCAGGTATACAGAATACACCTTAACCCCTTGACGCCGACGTAACACAAATATGCGGCCTCACGGACCTGGGCTTTTTTCCGTGGGGCCGCATATTTGCGTACCTGTCTTTGTGTTGGGAGCGCGCCCCTCAGCGCGCTCCCAGCACCGAGAGCGGTGTCACTGAGAGCACCGGGTCCCGTTCTAACGATCGGGACCCGGGACTCCCGGTTCCGGGTCACATGATCGCTGTGATAGCCTCTGATTGGCTATCACAGTGATCAGTCACTGTGCAGCCCGGCCCCCTTGTTTTTTTTTCTCTCTCTCTCTCTATGAATGGAGAAGAGAGATACATTGTATCTCTCGAACTCCTGTCAGAGAGAAGGAAAAAAAAAAAAGTTTGTAAAAAAAAAAAAAAAAAAAAAGTAAAAAAATAAAAGAAAAAATAAAAAAAAATACCTAGATCAAGGTTTGATCTAGTTCAGTGCCAGGGTTAGTGTTTAGGTCAGGGTCAAGGTCAAAGGTCAGGGTCAAGGTCAAAGGTCAGGGTCAAAAGTCAAGGTCAGGATTTAAAAAAAATTGGTATCAGTGTCAGTTAATCTTAATGTCAGTGTCAGTTAGTGTCAGTGTGTTTTAGGTAAAAAAAAAAAAAAAAAAAAAGACAAAAACAAAATGCGCACTATGGTTTCTGGGCTGTACTAAGGGTACAAACAACAAATAACATACACATATATGGTATCGCTGCGATCGTCAAGAGCTGGAGAATTTATTTTGGGTTTCTCTTTGGTGGTAGGTTATGGTCATAACAAGAAAACACACAGCTAAATTAAAATAAAAGGATTTTTTTTTACTATTTTTGGCCAGTTTTCCTTTGATAATAAAAAAAAAAATCAGGAGATATCCATTACCATTTACCACCAAATGAAAGCCCAATTTGTCCTGAAAAAATCAAGGTATAATCCACCTGGATGTGCAAAGTAGTTGTGATGATATGTACGGTTTTGCTATCACATGTCAACGGTGCAGAATTGTGCTTAGGCATTTAGATTTGTTTTACCCTTAGGCGTGAAGGGGTTAATCACACTGCGTTACTAGAGCCTGCATATGTAGTGCACATATATGCCTGCTCTCATGAACATACTGGAGAAAGAAAGAAAGAGAGAAAGAAAGAGAGAGAAAAGAAAGAGAGAGAAAGAAAGAGAGAGAGAGAGAGAGAGAAAAGAAAGAGAGAGAGAAAGAAAGAGAGAGAAAAGAAAGAGAGAAAGAAAGAGAGAGAAAAGAAAGAGAGAAAGAAAAGAGAGAAAGAAAAGAGAGAAAAGAAAGAGAGAAAGAAAGAGAGAAAAGAAAGAGAGAAAAGAAAGAGAAAAGAGAGAAAGAAAGAGAAAAGAGAGAAAAGAAAGAGAGAAAAGAAAGAGAGAAAAGAAAGAGAGAAAAGAAAGAGAGAAAAAGAGAGAGAAAAGAAAGAAAGGAAAGAAAGGAAAGAAAGGAAAGGAAGAAAGAAGGAAAAGAAGGAAAGGAAGGAAAGGAAGGAAAGGAAGGAAGGAAGGAAGGAAGGAAGGAAGGAAGGAAGGAAGGAAAGAAGGAAGGAAGGAAGGAAGGAAGAAAGAAAGAAAGAAAGAAAGAAAGAAAGAAAGAAAGAAAGAAAGAAAGAAAGAAAGAAAAGAAAAGAAAAAAAAAAAAAGAAAGAAAACAGCCATTACATTTATGCTAAAACATTTGAAAATCCCTTTAATAGATGTAGGTACAGAGCTGTCCCTCTCTACCTTGGGTGCTAATGCTGACACTGAGTGCCGAATATTTTTATATGGTATCAGTAGCATCTGAAGTGAGTCCATCAATTAGAGAGTCCAGTATTGATCCTTGCATTTCCCAGGAGATCTAATGTTTCCCAGGGTGATACTGTATAATTGCACTTGGGAACATTAGCAAGTGTCATATTTGCTAGTAAAAATGTCCCCCAAAAAATCTCTCCTTGCAAGGATTTAATCAAACTTCACTGCAGAATTTTACCTCCTGCTATTTGACAAAAACTCACACCTGAATTCCAGTCACTTTCTTCTTCCTGACAGGGAGTCTGTCTGCTATAATCACATGATCAAAGGGCCCCACTGCACCAATCACAGTACCAACCTCCTTGCTCTGATTACCACATCTGCCACCATTCCAACTTCCCTATCCCCAAACCTTGGCCATCTAGAACAGGAATACTTCTGCTGGTCTTTTGAAAATCCTAAGTAAAGCCATAAACATAGATATGCAGTCTGACAATGTACGACCAACCTCCATTTTACTAGTCTTACCACCACTTTCCTGTCAAAGCAGTTGTGCTGCATGTCTAAATCGGACTCTGCAGTTTACTATGTTAGGGCAAGAAGCAACATTTTTACTGAGAAAAAAAAATATATTTAAAATTGTTTCCAAGTATAAATCAGTCACAAATTGTATCATGCAGGGTTACAAGACTACAAAGGGATAAAAAAAAGGTTAGACTTCAAACAGCCTTTAAAGAAAGTAGAGTGTTCCTAAAGCAGACTGGCAGCTCTTGGTGCCACTGAAAGTGCCTGCAACTGTCTTGATCATGAGAAATTTTAATAATACAAAATTGAGGGTCCACAAGCTTGCTAATGTAACAATTGTGTGACCAGATTGTTACATCAAAAAAAGAAAGCACACCACATCTAAGGTTGTACTGTTAATGCCATGTGGTGCACATAATGACTTAGGGCAGTTGATAATTAACAGATTTCTCACCTGTTTTATTAGCATATACGTTTTACACATAATATTTTCGATCTTGGCCAAGTCGTACGATGTTACTTTTTGACCTTGCTGCCAAACCCTGTAGGCCTCCAGAAGTAGGTTTTTACTGTCATCTGTATCATCCAGCAGCTTTCGCTTGCGGCTGGCTCGGTGCGGTACCTCCTCCATTTGCTGTGCATGCTGTCCAGGCCCCTGCTCCCTGCAGGCAGGTGATGCTTTGAACTAATGCTAAGTTCTTCTAGTGATAGCTCTGGTCCCTCAGGTCCTTTCTCCTTATGAGGCTTAGCCAAGTCCTTTCGGAAAAGGTCTGCACGTTTCTCAGCATTGCAGAAGTATCCATCATGGTCCATGGGTTCAGAAGACTGAGTCTTAAGTGCCTCTTTTACAATCCTGGCTTCTCCTGTTTCCATAGCCTGAGTAGCAGGACCCTGAACAGTTTCTTTGCCTCCATTCTCTGGGCCAGCAGCCACCCCTTCTCCCAGAACCATGTTCTTCCTGGGTGGTACATCTTTCCGGTCCTCTGATGTGGGCCGGCCTGACACGTCTGTTGTCATGGAAGTTGTAAGGAATGAACTGGGGTCCGAACTCTGGCAATCCTGTTGAAAAGACACTTAGATTAGCAGCAATGAAGACCATGCAAAATTCTCAATATACACATAAGTAATCAGTAGGGTTACACCAATACCGGTTTTTTAAATCGGGGAGTACGAGCACCAATACTTTCGTTCAAGCACTCGCTGATACAGAGTACCAATACCTTTGCAGTGCGATTTGAGCCCATACAAAATGTATGGCCTCAAATTGCACAACAAAGAATTGCATGCGATTTGAGCAGGACTGCAGTGTGATTTCCCCCAGCATTCCTGTGTGATCCCACTATCCCTCCAGCCCTGTGAGCACCACAAACAGACAGTTTTGTATTTGACATGCAAGATATCAAGCTCTTTTATCATGCGAGTTGTGATAACATTTTAACCTGATTGTTTGCCCATTGCTGCACTTCATGTTGCTTCCTGGTCTTTCTATAGTGGGATGGATCACACAGGGGCTGTGGGGGGAAATCACGTGATTTGGACAGGAATCGCACTACTACTCCTGCAAAGGTATCGGTTTTGGGTATTGGGAGCATTTGCACGAGTATTGGTGCAAGTACTTGGTATCGGTGCAACCCTAGTAATCAGCAATAATTTCCCCTAAATTAAAATAAATAGCTGTATCTAAGAACATACAGCATTTAACTGATGTCAAATATCCCAGAGCATTTCATCAGATTTAAGAAGCATTATATAGTCAGACAAATGATCAACATCCTTTACATATAAGGAGATACAGGGAGGATTAGCATTAGCACCCATTGACACCAGCACTGCACATTACTGCCTCACATGTGCGCTATGTAATCAAACTGTTTACCTTTTTTTTTTTTTTTTTTTAACTTTATTGGAATGTCACAAAATTAAATTTCATTCATCTTAATGCACTGAAACATGTTGCAATGCAGCGCAGTGCCTCAGAACACCCTGCACTTCATAAAAACACAGGATTTCGTACATTTTTCAGCACACACCACTGAAGTGCTGTGAACTGAAATCACAGGACTTGAGGTAAAAGTATGAACTGCATTAGGCAATGCTGCCCATTGCAGCTGAACATATATGGTGTAAATGGGCCCTTAGGGTTTTAGGAGTTAGGTAGGGTATTGCTTTGTATGGTAAAAACTACTAGTGCACCAATAATTCTATAGTGATTCAACAAGTAGTTGTTCATTCAGCACATTTAGCAGTAGTTGCTCAGTAAAGCACTCACATATGGCACTGGAATAACACAGCTGGGTTTTTTGACTAAATAAGGTAGAAACAGATATGTTGTGATGTCTGCTCTACTGCTTTTAAAATTTTAGGACTTTTAACATAGTTGACAGGTTGGTTTTAAAGTAGAACTGTAAACAGCCCGTTAAAAGATAAAATAACAAAACCATCTTTTTCTGCAGTATTAAACATCAATCCAGAGATTTCCCCGCAGTACTTTTCATCGGCCACTAGTTGTCCTTGTTCTTTTGGCTAGCATCACTAAGCCTGCTTCCTCTGAGTCTAGGTCGTCCTGGACTCACTTCAGTCTGTGACTGAACAGAGAAAAGAGATGCAGCATAGATGGGCTAATTTCTGTTACTCTGCTCTCCCTTCATAATAGAATGCTACTTGTCAGAGAAATAGACAGCAAAAGGAGCCACTCAGTTCATGTACTGACACTCCAACCCTGCTGTACAGGGATACCAGTTCAAATTAGGGTACCTGCACTGTTACATTTAAGCAGGGGCGGACTGACCATTTGGAAACTCGGGCACTGCCCGAGGGCCCGGGGTCAGTAGGGGGCCCCATGAGATGTTCCTGGTACCTTTTTCATAGGCTTTTTTGAGTTTGGGCAAGGACACAGGGGCCCCATGATCCCCTATTGCCTGGGGGCCCCATGAGTTGTCAGTCCACCCCTGCATTTAAGCATATATATTAAAGGTGTATTATTGATTAAAGAGGTCTCTTAATTTATATATCTGTTTAGAGGTTAGCTTTTTAAAGTGCTTTTCAGCATGTTTAAATATACTGAGGTTGGTAGGTCAGGATGCAGGTGGTATGTTATTAGACTACAAGTCAGCATTTTTACATAAAACTATTCAAAGCATGCCCATTTACTGTGTCAAGAACCTTGCATAAAATCCCCCCAAAAAAACAATGACAAAGGCTTTGATCTGTTTGAATCTAGGTACACATGGGCTGGACAATATACAAAAACAATACAGAAGGTCCCTGACATACTTTTAGGTTATCCAGCAAAAAAAGAGTAACTAAACTGTTTTGACCACCCAGGTTATAAAACGAAGAATTTAGTAGCATACATTTGCAAATATATGTTGACTGCCACCTCTGATCAAGGCTCATTTGATAACTGTGGTCCCTGCCCATAGATGGTTATAAATTTGGCTGGTTAAACAAGGCCTGGCTGAATTTTGACCCATGTATGGGCATTGAGCCTGTGCAGAAGTCAATCTACCAATCGTCTTCTGTACAACTCTCCTGCTGGAAAATTTCCTCTCAATCAGAACTGCAGGCTATAGCCTGCTACTCTGATCAGTGTATTCTGATGGTGGGGAAGTCTCCCCTCTGTAAGAATACGACACAGTGAGAGGATTCCCTCATCCACCTTATTGCGCATGGAGGAACTGGGTCAGTTCTTCTCATTCACCCCACTGGTTGAATGAAAAAAAAAAAGACCCATCTATGGCCAGCTTAAGTTATTGGAGTTTCCCAACTGTGGGGCATATACGGCAATGCACACACACAGCAGACTCACCTGGAGGCAGACCTTTCCCCCTTAAAGGTACAGCAACCTATTCCCAGTGGGTATAATTACTCTTATTAAAGTTATTTCTTCCCAAGTTTTTATATATCTTCAGAAATACTCCTGTTACATTTATTTGGGCAGGGGCTACTCCCAGGATAGCCAGATCTACCCTGCAACTGCCCCTTTCTCTAGGCGGACTGGCGTTACCCAATTTTCGACAATACTACCAGTATTGGTCACAGTACGATGGTGGTTTACGCAAATACAGACAAACCCAGTGGTAATTTGGAGGCTGCTATTCTAGGCTCCTACTCAGTATTAAGTAACCTGGTGTTCAGAGGCCTGAGCACTAGCCCCCAGATGACAATTCCCTTGCGCACCACAGTGCGGGTGTGGAGTCAGGTTAAATCGGCTATTAGTGAGGCTAATACCATCTCTCCCCACACTCCACTGTGGGGCAATTCTCAGTTGCTCCACACCGATCCAAGTGTATGGGCTGGGTTTGGTATTAAAATTATAATACATATCATGCCCCAAGTTACTCTCCCCACATGGATGTTTTCCCATTATCTCCACTTGCTCCATGCAGTGCAAGCGCAATTTCCCTCTGAGGTGACAGTGACATCTCATAAAGTGGAGCGTTTCCTTATCTAAAGCAATGCAGACAAGATTCTATTCTCGCTCTATCTCAGAATCTCTAGTAAAGGTACTGGTAAGCTTTCCCAATTATTCTACATCTGGCAAAGGGATATTTCAACCCTAACGATTGAAGATTGGGATAAGGGAATCCAGCAATATATTCCATGGGTAATATCAGCTAAAGACAGATTTATCAAGCTTAAATTTTTGCACAGAGCTTACTATAACCCCCAACTGCTCCCTGGAATGTACCCTTCACACCCTGCTATTTACCCTAAGAGCCAAACTGAAATTGGTACGTTCATGCATGTTGTATGGTCCTGTTCACTTATCCAGGGTTTTGGAGAGAGGTTGTGGCAGATATCAATTCAGTGAGGGGACTGAGGGTTCCGATGGACCCACGGGTGCTTTTACTTGGGAGCTGTGATGCTGCGGATTCTACCACTTATAAACAGTTATTTGTGTTCTACACGGCCTTCTATGCCAGAAAAGCGATTCTCTTGAAGTAGAAACAATTGGACCCTCCTACAATATCCCATTGGAGATCCCTGGTTGACTTTGCCCTTCCTCTCTACAGACTTAATTACACGAGTCATAAATGTCCCAAAAATGAACGCCTGATTGCTGTCTCTATAAGGTGGAAGCATTGTGGAGAGGAGTTCTGGGTAGGACCCTTTAATAGTGTTACTGGTTTAAGTTTGTGGTACCCTGACAATGAGGCTCTTTTCTGGTTCCCTCCCCCTGATTCCCCCCCCCCCCTTTCTTCCCTGGGATAAGACTAATTTAGCAGTTTATTTTTGTGTGATTTCTATACTTTCATTTGATGTCTTTTACTGGGTTTTTATTATTTCACTGGAACGGAGTGATGTGTACGGTGATGCCCATGATTTCCATGTCTGCTGTTCAATCAGTGCCTCAGCTTGTTCTTCTTTGTGCCTTTAAACCTTGTTGTATATATGCAGCATAGACTCCTTTTTACATTTAAATGCGTACATACAATTACAGTAAGTGTAATCAGTCATCTCCATAGCATTTTACAGGCAGGGAAGGTGGAGAATTTTACTCATGTTCTGCTTTGTGATACTGTAGACCCCCAGTAATCAAGCCCTTAGTTCAGGAGAATGTTTAGGCAACAATACTTTGTTGGACAATCACTCTCAGATGACAGTGATCACTACCTGAGAGATTGTTTAGTATCTAGCCTCTTCCCTGTGACTATGGATACTAGCAGTAGAATGGTCACACCAATGATACTGTACACATGGGTATTCATTTATGTGCCCATCTTTAATACAGCTGGTTTTGCAATAGCAGATCTAAATTCTGATGTGTGAAGGCACAGACTAGCAGGACATTGATTTACTGCTGTTGGAACCTAAATGGCTAAAAGAACATATTCATCCCAAACAGAGACATAAATACCTGCATATTTTCACTTCTGCATAAGCTTAACAAGGGTCATTGCCAGATCTGGTTGTGTTACATAGCAATTACTTTCAGTATGGTGTACTTTGGTATATAGGCTTAGATTAATGTGATACTTAACAATGTCCCTATTCTCCAGAAATAATCCATATACATCCATTACCTAATGGCACTGTAATCTATTTTTCATGAAATCAGTTCTTACGGCGCTTTTCTGCCTTTGTGAGCTCAAAAACCTCTCCCCTTACTTCAGCTTGCCTGAAACCAGCACGGCACCTTTAGTTGCAGTCATGTGTGGAGTAAGCAAATGAGGGTGGCTGCATTCCTATATGCAGTAGGACCATGGAGAACAAATTTAGCCAACCTCTAACAGGAAGTCAAATCACAGCAGCAAAAACATGAATTTGAAGATTTGGAGAAGGGTGAAATCAACAGAAGGGACTTTTTCGTGTCAAGAATACATACTTGAATATCATTTTTAATACCAGAATTTAGTTTCACTTTAATTTACAGAAACTGAGAAACATTCCAAAAATGCAAGAAAATTTGAAAAGTAGCACCATTCCATTCTTACCCCAGTCAAGTCACTAAGTGTGTCCTCCAACACTTTTACGGTGAGAATGAAAGCTTTCTTTGCCAAAACCTGCCGATCCGCATCCCGCAAATACTTCCTGCAAAGGAGGGATTATTTTTTTTGTTATCAGACATGTACTTCCTGGAGACAATACAGGACACTGAGAGAGCAAACAGAGGCATTTCAGCTGCGGGACTAATGATAACAGTCAGCACTCCCATACAGAAAAATCCTACTAATCATATTATGTGTATTGTTAGAAGTCTGCATGCTGCCACTTACAGGGGATGCTCTTTTTTTATAATGCATTCCTAAGTGCTGTGGTTCCTATATCAGATATGGAGTTTCCTGACAGTCAAATCATCAGTCTAGACAAGTGCTGCTCAGTCTTCATTAGGTTAGAACCACAAGTGTAAAGCTGGAAAACGTAAAGGAATGCTGTAATTACTCCCTAAAGAGGACCTGTATCGTGGAGATTGTGCCTAAAAATTTGCTGCAGCTGATCTTTTCTCACTACTGACTTGCCATATTTTTTCCCATGCTGTGCCTCTGTGTGGAGACATCTTGGTAGCAGGGAGGGCTTTGCTTCCTCATGTCAGAGCTGTCCTCTTCATTACTGGGGATTTGATGACTGGTAGAGTAATAGTAAGGAAGCAGAAGGAGAGCTACAGAAACCAAAAGACCCACAGAATGAAGGAAGAAGAAGCAAGGATATAGTAGCAAGGCAGATCCTCAGGTACTTTCCAGCCATAGTACAGTGACGCAGCACAATCGTGACACCACTAAATCTCAAACCAATCTTGTGAGACTAGCAGTCAGAGACAGCAGTGCCTTAAGCTGGCCATAGATGGTTTGAATCTCGGCCGGTTCAGCAGAGACTGACTGAGATTCAAATTATGTATGGGCAGGTTGAATGTACCCAAGTTGGTTGATTGGTCAACTTGAGTACAACCAGCCTGTTGGATTTTACATGCGATTATTGCTAGCGGCTATTATAGCCGATAGCAGAAATAAATCAATGTGTTCTTCTGACAGGGATGGCTTCCCCCACCAGGAGACCACAGTGGCTCTGTGGGATTGATTCTCCCATCAACACTGATTGTGTTGATGAGGAATCTAGCGATTTTCTTTCCTGCGACCTACAGTTGGAGGAAAGAAAATCTCTCCATCTATAGCCGGCTTTAGATAATCTCAAATAGCAATTATGCAGCTACGAGGCTTTAGAACAAGTACCTAGTACCAGGAAATGCACTGTTTTCAAGAGGAATTCAAGGCAGGTAGATTTTTCAGGGTGCTGCTTAGATACAATTAACATTTCTAAATGTTCCCAATAAAGTAGCAAAGCTTTATCTTTTGGGTTCAGGCCTACTTTAAATAGGCATACTTATGCAATTATATCCCACAAATGTGCATATATTGCTAACCAGCCAGTATGTGCTGCTGTGGTTGTCAGTGTAATTTAGACACCTCATGTAATCTTTTATCCCATCAAATTTGCAGGAATTAAATAAGTCACATAACAAATGGACACACAATGATATATGAAATATAACGGGAGAAAAAAAACCTTACCCAGAAGCAATATCCCAGAAGGATATTCTGTCCCTTCTCCCACAATAACTAGCAAGCTAAAACATCAAAACATCAAGGAATGCAATAATCAGTCATGCAGATGGTCAATATCTACCAATATTTCCAACCATGGTGCCCAAACTTGGTCAACCTTTTCTGCTCTATTAATAGTTCCCAACAGATCTCTCACACTTGGGTTGTCCTACTGAATCTAACAAAACAGGATTTCAACAGAATAACTATTTGACCAGCAGTTTCCTATGTTGGGTCATTTCTCTATCCTCTGCTATTCCCAAGAAGGTTCAGTTTATGCATTCTTTCTAGTGTCAAGTTGAGGCAGGTAAAGATTATAGCAGATATCACATAAGAGGGATCTGTAGCTGCAATGTATGAGGAATCCAGCAAAGCCACACAATTCATTAAAGAACATGCAAAGTGAAATGCTAATTACCTGTGTTTGTTTTTTTTTTCTTTATTGCACTAAGGGCCAATTCACACCGGTGCCTTGATCTACGTTTCAGCTGCAAAACGCAGATCAACGCAAGGACATCTGCAAACCAATAATTTCCAAGGTGTCCTATCCACACCATAATGCTGCGCTGACATGCGTTGTGCTAACATGCATGCATTTTAGCGCAATGCAACGGTTGTAAGTGGATGTCTACGCAATGCACAGGATATCCTGTGAAAATGCAGTAGGCTTTAACGCGTGCTAAAATGCATGTCAACTGACGTCAAAACGACAACGGATGTCAGCGCGTGACTAAAATGGATGCAAATGTACATCCATTTACCATACATTTTAGGCCAGTGTGAACTGGCTCCCAAAGAAAAAAAAACCCTAATATTTTAAAGCATTTGATCTGATTACATCTTCGAATGTGTCCCAACCAAAAAAAAAAAGAAAGTAAAACAGCCCTATCAAGAAAAATATACTATATCCTAATGCTTAGTTTAATTTGCTGGGAAGTGGTTCATTACAATAACAGGCTCTTCCTCAATACATCTATAAAGGAGTTGTACTCCACTGCTCCTTGCACCATCATCCAGGATAGGAGGTGTAGCTAGTTGTACTACATGCCAGAGAAAACCATTACAACCTACAATCTTCAAACTGTGCTTAAAATTCTGTTTACCGTGGGTCAGGATAGTGTGTTGCCAAAAAATGCTGCATGTACTTTGGCAACACCATCTCTTCTGAGTGATCTTGTGGCATACTAAGGGGTTAGTACATGGCTACTTTCTTAAAGCCAAACTGAAGTTCCAATTTAAATCAGCTAAATACATTTCAGGAACGAAAAGGTGTTCAAAGTCTAACAGTATACTTTCTTTAGAAAGAAGCCACAGCCTGGGCAGAAAAGCCTGTCCCTTGCCATCAAGTAGAGAAAGACCCTTGTTCTTTGTGTGGAAGCAGAGGTCTCTCTGCTGAGGCCTGGCACGCTCCCTACTGAGCCAGATCTATAGCTCTGCAATCAGCAAAACTCACATTGCCTGCTGATTGGAGATCCCTGGCTCTGACCTGGTGTGTTGACCTCAATAAAGAGACCTCTGCTTCCACATGGAGAGCAAGGGTTCTTCTCTACAGCATGCTGACAGGGTATAGGCTCTTCTACTCAGGATGAGGACATCCATTTTCATGCACCTGGAACATATTTAGCAGATTTAGGGCCTTTGCAGAAAATATCTGTTGAAATACGGGAAAAAAGTGGATTAGTCACAATTAGTTGAAGAAACCAAAGCCAAAGCATGTCTCAAGGCACTGGAAAATGTAGAACTCTTTTTAAGGTTCAGAAGATGCAAAAAAAAAAAAAAACAATTGTGTGGAAAATGATAGGAAATGATTTTGCAGTGTATGCAAAATCCAACTGATAAAATTCTTCTGAAGGCTCGAGTCCTTGTTAAAATAATGCTACAATGTAATTTACAGAACGTGTATTCATGTGATATAATTAAAGCAGCCAGTTCAGCTGTTTACACCTGGACACAAGTGAATTAACCATGGTGCACTAATGGTATGCTGAACACTTCCAGTGCTTATTGGTCCCTCAGTTGTTACATTTAAGGATGAATTGGAACTAATTACAACACAGCATGCATATTTTAATAAATGTCTGCTTTAAAACTGCTGGTCCTGCATTTCTGACAGTAATAAAGGCATGTTCTGAAAGTAAATAAATGGGAATATATTCCGAGGCTGGCACTTACTTCCCCTGATCGGGGGTCCTCTGTAGCATGCAAGAGATTGTCAGTAGCGTGTTGGAGTCTTTGAGTTGGGCCAGAACGTTCAGAAGGAGCACGATGGAACGGTTCATATGAGAAGCAAAACTGCCGGGGCGATCTATCTCATCCACAGGTATCCGCCAGATTCCCTGAAAGCCCGAGAAATAAAAATATATTAAAAAAATGCAAATAACATATTGCAATAAGAGGCTTTTGTAAAATTAACCTATATAAAATGTTGATACATTGCTTTTTCAGTATTTTTCTATATACATGCACTTTTATTTGATATAAATGATCATATCGGTCTGTGTTAAGATTTTAAAAACCTTCTTTTTCTTTAGTGTTTGTAATGCTATATTTACACTTTCTAGCGAAAAACAATCAGTGCAAACCAATAAATACCAATGAATATCAACAAAGAAGGATGCAAGTTGAACACCTAAGGCAGTTTTCACAATGCCCGTAAAGCTGATATAAAAAATGAAAGAGTGCAGCGCAAACCAATAGAAAGTATATCAAAGTCACTATAGATATATTCAATCCAAAGATGTCTTCAGCAAAGATAACCAGTGAAGAGTGACATGCTTGGCGTCAATGTGACAGATGTGTTGGATCCCACCACTAAGGAGCAAACCAGCCGCTCACCTTAACAGCATGACCCCTAAACCAAGAGGAAAGTCATGACAAGCATTCCCCTAAGGGGTCAATCATGGATGAGACCACTGCTCTGGGTACATACATTTCCATAGCATGTCCATTGAAGTCTATTGAACCAAAAACACACTGTGTTGCGTTTAAAAAAAGACTCTGACCTTTTCCAAGAATGCAGTAGCTGAAAAACGCATAGATGTGAATGTGTCCCATAGGAAACCATGTTGATTGGACTGTAGTGCGTTTCTGCAAAAAGCAAACTGCACTTAAAAACGCATAGGTGTGAATCAGGCCTAACTGTATAAATGGACATCCCAGCAAGACTGTTAACATTGTTTTCTGTTACTATCCAAGTACAGGTCTGTATTAAGCCTGCATTCACACCTGAGCAGAGCATATTCCTGGTGCTTCTGAAGAATTGCAAGCATTTTTGCAGATGAAGGAACTTCTGCATTTACAGGCATTCCTAGTGAAGTCTATGATTCAAACACCTGATTACACTAAACACAAAAAAAAAAAAAAAAGCTCCTGTACTTTTTTAAGCGTGGGATTCTACAAAGTCAGGCATAGAAAATTAGCAGAAAAACACTCAAGTGTGAATGAGGGCTTAGAAAGAAAAAAAAAAAAAGCAGGATCCAAAATGCAGTCACTAATAAGTGAAATCTGCACTGATATGTGTTCTGCCTTATATGTCAGTAAATATATCTCCGGTCTAAAGTGGAAAAGGTAATAGAAGCATGAGACAAGACCACATTATGAAGCAAACAGTCATATTTTTCATCTGCTGCATTACATATGTAGTTCATTTAAGTGCTATACATGCCTTTCATATACAGTGGGAAAAATAATTATTTGATCCCCTGCAGATTTTTTAAGTTTGCCCACTTACAAAAAAAAAAAAAAATATATAAGAGTCTCACTTTTATCATAAGTGTATTTTAAATAATAGAGACAGAATATCAACCAAAAATCCAGAAAAAAAAAAAAAACCACGACACAAATGTTATAAATTGAGTTGGAGTTCAGGGAATAAAATAAGTATTTGATCCCCTACCAACAAACAGTAATTCTGGCTCCAACAGACTGGCTATGTGCTTATGTGCTCCTAACGACAACTCGTTATGTGTATAAAAGACACCTGTCCACAGTATCTCTTTCTTCCATTCAAATCTTCCCATCAAGGGCAAGACCAAAGAGATGTGAAAGGACGTCAAGGACAAGATTGTAGACCTGCACAAGGCACAAATGGGCTACAAGACCATCAGCAAGAAGCTTGGTGAGAAGGAGACAACTGTTGGAGCGATTATTCACAAATAGAAGAAACACAAAATAACCATCAATCGCCCTCAGTCTGGAGCTCCATGCAAGATTTCACCTCATGGGGTAAGGATGATCATGAGAAAAGTGAGGGATCAGCCCAGAACTACACAGCTTGTGAATGATGTCAAAGCAGTTGGGACCACAGTCACCAAACAAACCATTGGTAACACAAGACGCTGCCATGGATTGAAATCCTGCAGGTCCCTCTCCTCAAGAAGGCACATGTACAGGCTCGTCTGAAGTTTGCCAATGAACATGAATGATTCAGAGAAGGATTGGGAGAAAGTGCTATGGTCAGATGAGCCTAAAATTGAGCTCTCTAGCATTTCCTCGACTCGCTGTGTTTGGAAGAAGGAAAAATGGTGACTATGACCCTAAGAACACCATCCCTACAGTCAAGCATAGAGGTGGAAACATTATGCTTTGGGGCTGTTTCTTTGCTAAAGGTACTTTACCGTATTGAGGATCCAAGGGACGGGGCCATGTATTGTAAAATCTTGGATGAGAACCTTCTTCCCTCAGCCAGAACATTGAAGATGGGTCGTGGATAGGTCTTCCAGCATGACAATAACCCAAAACATAACGCCAAGGCAACAAAGGAGTGGTTCAAAAAGAAGCACATTAAGGTCATGGAGTGGTGTAGCCAGTCTCCAGACCTTAAAGTGGTTGTAAAGGCTAAAGGTTTTTACCTTCATGCATTCTATGCATGAAGGTAAAAAACCTTAGGTCTTATTGCGATCCAGCAATGTGAATGACAGCCTCGGCTGTCCTGGGTTTCTACCTCCTCATTGGCTGAGACAGTAAGCAGGAGCCACTGTCTCCTGCTGCTTTAAATTACAGACAGTCAGCCAATGAGAGGGGTGGGGCAAGCTGCAGTTCCATGTGTGAATGAACACATGGAGCAGTGGGTGCCCCCATCGCAAGCTGCTTGCTGTGGGGGCACCCAACAGACAGGAGGATCTGGGAGAGCCTGCAGGGGACACGAGAAGAGGAGGATCCAGGCTGCTAGGTACAAAACCACTGCACACAGCAGGTAAGTATAGACATGTTTGTTATTTTACAAAGAAAAAAAAAATTAACCTTTAGAATCACTTTAATCCTATAGAAAATGTATGGAGGGAGCTAAAAATTCAAGTTGCCAAGCAACAGCCAAAAAACCTTAAGGATTTAGAGAAGATCTGTAAAGAAGAGTGGACCAAAATCCCTCCTGAGATGTGTCCAAACCTGGTAACCAACTACAAGAAACGTCTTACCTCTGTGCTTGCCAACAAGGGTTTTTCCACCAAGTACTAAGTCATGTTTTGCTTGGGGATCAAATACTTATTTTATCACTGAACTGAAACGCAATTTATAATATTTGTATCGTGTGTTTTTTTGTGTGGTTGATATTCTGTCTATCAATTAACCTCCCTGGCGGTATGATTATTTCAGATTTTTGGTGCTGAAAGCGGTACATTTTTTTGCATGGAAATATGTAGTTTTTTTATTATAGGCCTGTAATTTAGGAATAACTCACTGAAATCTGTCCGAACAAGAGTCTAGTAAACATTCCGGATATGATAAAACTTGAAACACGAAATCATAAATTATAATTTAATAAATAGTCATAAAAAATAATAATATAATAATAATAAATGTAATTCAATAATATAATCAAACCAAAAACACTGAAATTTGAAATATAGCGCCAAGTTCGCACAACGCTGAGCAAAGTCGCAGAATCGTTTTCAGTGTCTGATGAGGAATTTCCCCACGAATCATTATCACTAAATTCTGCAAGTGGTTCTGATTTACTATCGCTGTTCTCTAGCTGGTCTAAAACCGATTTTGCCCTAAAGGGACGCTTTTTGGACGCAATGGACTTTTCTAAGTTTCCAGGCAGAAAGAACAGTCAAAATACAGGCAGGACACAGGACAAAGCAGTAGGGACAAAATGTATGTGAAATGCTTTGAAACAGCAATGTTTTACTATGTAATAATCGTTTTAAAAAAAATGTCTTTTTTTTTAAAGTTTCAAATTTGTCGCCCGTACGTCCCGACGTCACAGGGACCGGAACACGGAAGCTGGATGCTGGCATCGGCCGGAGGATATGGCCAGGGACGCTGCAGGGGACGCATCGCGGGAGCGAAAGACAAGGTAAGCGCTGCAGGGAATCCTTGTGCAACGCTGCATGGTAAGCCTGAGTGTAGCTCGGGGTTACCGCTTTTGGTACTGAAACTCTACCCCGAGCTACACTCGGGAATACTGCCAGGGAGGTTAACAAACACCTAAGACACAAATTATAGACTCTTCATTTTTTTGTAAGTGGGCAAACTTACAAAATCTGCAGGGGATCAAATACTTATTTTCCCCCACTGTATATACCAGTGTTAAATCATGCCCATCACTATATTGCACTATCTCACTTCTTTTTGTTTTTTATGTATGAATACTGCTGAGTGAGAACACTAAATTAAACACATTAAAACCATTTTTTTTTCAGGAGCAAGGTAAACTGGACCTGAGCTCTAAAAAGTGCAGATATGCTATATTACAGGGAATAGTTAGAAATATTGTGCCTATCAAGTACCCTTTTACTTTTCATTTCTCCATAAAAACAGCCAAGCACTTCCAGGCATGTATCTACAGCCTCAAAGGTGTATATCTGCAATGGGAGATCTAAGGCACTGCTGTTTCTGACTGCTAGACTTGGATTTGGAATGATCTTGGTGATGCTACAACTTTCCTTGCTGGGGGGCTCTGATATGAGGAATCAAAACCCTGCCTTTACTAAGATGGTTGCTTCCACACAGCAAGACAGTGCAGAACAAGGCTTAATCAGACAGTAATCGGGAAAAAGATCAGCTACAGGAGGACCTCAGGAAATACTGGTGAATAGTCCTATTTTTTTCTGCCTGATTTCTTAAAATTCCTTTTTAAGAAACTCCCATGCAACCCTCAGTTCATTATTTGGAAACATGAATCAGTTACCGAAAACACAACAAAAATGCGTGATTGGTTCCTGCCAAAAGGATGTGTTCTCTCTTTACCCCTCTCTCTTTTAACAGATGTACTATGAATATATAAAAATCCCATAGTAGAGCCCTTTCACACTGATGAGCTTTCGATGCGCTTTTGTGCAGATTAAAGTGTAACTAAAGGCAAAACTTTTTTTTTTTAGTTTTGGATAGAATGG